GAACAGTATTCCACGATGCTTCTCCTGTGAAGATCGCCGTCTCGTCTCCCGTGTCGCGATTTGGCTCGAGAAAAAGAGAAGGGGGAAAAGAAAAGAACAATGAGTGGACGAGTGGTACTCTGCCTTACTCAGCTTCCAGAATAGACTTGCTCTCTCCAAGTTATTGGCGTTCTGTGTAAATATTTGCATTCAGTCTCAGGGGATGAAACGCTAATTGAGCGTGTGGAGAATGGCCATTTCCTGCACAGCCACGGTCTTGGCTTTGGACGGAGTACTCCGTGAAGACGTATCTAAAAGCAAATATTCCAGTCAAATATGCACATTTTGCATACTCCGTATGGAATCGGGCAATGATATGCGTGCTTGTTAAGCTTGTTAAGCTTGATCTGGATCTAACGCGACTCTTGAGGGGATTATTGGCCAATCAACCGTTTGTAGTGGGTAGAGCCCTAGCTCGTAAGGTTAGCCAGTGTCAGAAGAAGTTTAGCAGGTTTTGAAAAAAGAGTGAGACCAATATGCTGACTTGGGAGTGTCAAGAGGAAAGTTGGCAACGGGTACTCCGTACATTAACAAGTATCAATTGATACTACATATGTGCATATATGTACATAGTTATAGTCACTTGCCTTTTTTATACCTTTTTAAAAGGTCTTTTTAGGTATGTTTTGGATAGCTTAATTCTTCCTTTTATTAGAGTTATTAGCCTCAAATATATTACTATGTTGTAGGTGGTGGACAAGGTGTCTCCATGTATAACACATATGGAAGGATTAGAACTGCACTTTCTATAGATATAATGCTATACTGCATGTATGTAGTTCTAATTAAATTGCTTTTGATCTTTCCATTTGATATTTTGACCTTTTGAATACCAAATATACACAACATATGTGGTTGCTCTTGGACTTTTCACTATCTATGCACTTCGCACCTACATAGGTATACCGTTGGTAAATTAATCCCTCATTCTAAAATTAATATATACCATATACTATTATCTATACTATATATCCTAAAATATAAACCTATAACAAAGTAAACAACGTAGCTATGGGCCCACATAGAGAAAGCCGGCTATCATCGGGGCGGGGCGCAAAAGTCGAAATCTTCGAACTTCTTCATTACATTCTCTACAACATAGAGATTCTTACAACCTCACACATCATGGCTTCTACCACTAACCCCGGCATCCCGCCGGTCACTCTGGACACCATCACCCAGCAGATCGGCAACACACCCCTCGTGCGACTAAACCATCTGCCCCGCACCCTGGGAATCGATGCTACCGTCTACGCCAAGTTGGAGTACTTCAATGCCGGTGGCAGTGTCAAGGATCGCATTGCCCTGCGCATGATTGAAGAGGCTGAGCGATCTGGCCGCATCAAGCCTGGTGATACTCTCATTGAGCCTACCAGTGGTAACACGTAGGTTTTTCTTTTCCCCTTCCTTCCCCTTCGCTTCAAGCGATCATGGGCACCGGTGCTAATTGAGATTCATTAGTGGTATTGGTCTGGCACTGGTTGGTGCTGTCAAGGGTATGTTTCTATTGTCTAAGCTCTGCTTGTCCGATCCATCCTAATTTTGTCTATTTCTTCTCCTCTCAGGCTACAAGACTATCATCACTCTTCCAGAGAAGATGTCCGCCGAGAAAGTCGCCGTCCTGCGTGCCTTGAATGCGACTATCATCCGAACCCCCAACGAAGCCGCCTTTGACTCACCCGAATCGCATATCGGCGTCGCCAGACGTCTCGAGAAGGAATTGCCCAACGCCCATATCTTGGACCAATATGAGAACCCGAATAACCCCTTGGCACATGAGCTTGGCACTGCCGAGGAGGTATGGACCCAGACCAATGGCAAGGTCAGTGCTATTGTCGCTGGTGCTGGAACCGGTGGTACGATCACCGGTCTTGCCCGTGGCCTGCGGAAACACAACCCCGATATCAACGTGATCGCCGCCGATCCCTTTGGTTCTATTCTCGCTCTGCCTTCCTCCCTCAACGAAGCTCGTGCCAATGAGCCTTACAAGGTCGAGGGTATTGGATATGATTTCGTCCCCGAGGTTTTGGACCAAGGTGCGGTGAGCCAGTGGATCAAGACTGAAGATAGGGAGTCTTTCAAGTACTCCCGGCGTCTGATCGCCGAGGAGGGTCTGCTGGTCGGCGGTAGCAGTGGCAGTGCTATTGCGGCTCTGGTCAAGGCTAACGAGGCCAAAAAGTTCTCCAAGGACGATGTCGTCGTTGTGATTCTTCCCGACAGCATCAGAAGTTACCTCTCTAAGGTAGGATTAAATATATCCTCCATTTATTTTGCATTAAAGCTAACCGGTTCAAGTTCGCTGATGACGACTGGCTCGCAGCCAATGACCTGCTCCCGTCGCTTCCCGCCGTTGCATCCACAGCTCAAACCCAGGAGCCCGAGTCTGACTCTCTAGCCAATGCCAAGGTCAGCGCCTTGCGCTTGAAGCCCATCACCGCCGTGACAGCTAACTCCCCTTGCGAGACTGCTATCGAGGTCATGCGCGACCGAGGCTTTGATCAACTGCCCGTCCTTGCTCCCTCTGGACGCAAGCTCGTCGGTCTAGTTACGCTGGGCAACGTCCTCAGTCGACTGACGCACGGCCGGGCCTCGGGCCAGAGCCCCGTCTCCGAGGTCATGTTTGACTTCTCAAAGATCTCCGAGGTGGTCACCGACCCTCGTGATCTCTCTAAGGGCATTGACTCCCTCAAGCCTCGGACCCGGAGTCGTGGCTTCATCGAGATCACCATGGATACCCCTCTCAGTGTCCTGAACCGCTTCTTCGAGTGGAACAGCGCTGCGGTCGTAACCGAGAAGGACGCAAGTGGTGCGATGAAGCCACTGGCTGTCGTTACCAAAGTCGACCTGCTCACTTGGATGCTGCACCAGTCCAAGGCGAGCAAGGCCTAAAATGTTTTTCTTTGTTTCTTTTCCTGGACTGCATTCGCATGAGACATTGCTTGTTGGTTAAGGGTTCAACATTCCTGAACATTGATATTTTGGGATAGGCGTTTCCCTTGCGTTGGCATGAGGGCTCCCCGATGGGATTCAACATATTGCGGGATTGAAATACCTGGATCGTGCAGCGCAAAGGCTGGCGTTGAACGTGATAAATACTTAATGCACACCATAGAGAATATACACATGGCTCTTTTCCAAATCTATTCGATTTCGGTGGCGATGATATCGATTCAGATCAGATATATGTGCAACTCCACCTGTAGGAACCCTCTCGACTTTGCCCATTCCAATCCCCAAGGATGACTGATACTTTACATATCGGAACTTCTCCATGGCGAACATACTGGCGTTAGGTGGCTGTAGTAACGGTGAGTTCTCTGTCATTATATCTCGACCCAGCAACTAATTCTGGGGCCAGGGTGGCCAAGCAGGCATTGGCAAGGTAAGCAGAGGCCCGATCTCAAGCCAATTGAATATTATACCTATCGCTACGCTGTGTGAGCCCGGCGCAAAATCTGGAGATATGAAGCATGCTCGGGATCCACGGGAGAGTACGATGATTGCTTTCATGCCGTTACGTTTCTAACATTGCTGACCATACAGGACTGGATCGATGTCCAAGCCCGGGCTACAGAGACACTGGGGTTAGATTGGCAATCTTAAACAGAAGACCACGTTGTAGCCTCTCAAGACCTTGGTGCAATTTTTTGGGCATAACATATACAAGCAAATCATGATAGGAGCACTATTTACTATTACGGACCATCAAGACAAGAGGGCAAAAAAAGTCCTCTCACAAGCACATACCAACCCACTCCTCCCAGCGGCGCACTCCAGATCCGAACTCTTCCTGCAAGTCACCCTTGACAGCACCACCAACCACATCAACCTTCACACCCACCTCGTGCTCCAGGAGCTTGAAGCTGAAAGCCTCTTGTTCATCATTGCCCAAGATCTCCTCTTCGTCTTCCAACCCGGTATCTGCACTTGCATCCAGAAGACCCTTGGTCTTCGACTTGCGGATGCGATCAATCTCTGCTTCCAGATTTTCTTTCACAGCACCGGGCGGTAGTGCAGTGAATAGATCCTGCTTGTTCGCAGCGATTAAGACAGGGACTTCAGTGGTCCGCTTGCTCGATGATCCGTTCTTTGCGCGCTTCTGGAGAAAGAGAAGAACGTCGTGCAGATAGGTCGCGGTGTCACGGAGCGTCGCTTCGTCAACTAGAGCAGCGGTATCGACCATGAATATCATGCCGCGTAGTTTTGTCTTGATGTCCTTTGACTGGGACATGGTCTGGAGCTCGGAGATCCCTTGCGACGCGCGGAGCTTGCCATGGCCAGGGGTATCCTTTATGCGGTACTTGATTGGATTTCGGATGGCCTCCTTTAAGGAAGGATCATTCACCGATCGGTAACGGTTAGATCCGGTTGGGACGGTAGGTGGTAAGGCCACAGTTACTAGGGTTGATTGTTGGGAGGTGTGGGTGCTGTGCGACTTGTTCGACGCGAGTGAGGACTTGGCCTCGAGCTATATATTGGTTAGCAAGAGGGCTCGAGCACATTCAGGTCATAAAACATACCAAGGTTGTAAAAGCAGTTTTGCCCGCTCCACTGGGGCCTAGGAGGAGGAAGTTACTCGAGGGCGGAGACGCTACAGTCTGGAAGAAGAAGATGTGCAGTGCGATGGGGACACCGAAGGTGAAGAGGATAGCGATAGCAATGGCAACAAGGTTGCCATCGAACAGCAGTGTGGCAATGCCAGTCACCGAGTTCCAATTTGCTTGAGACGACATGGTTGTTAGTTGTCAAAAGTTGTGGGCTGACACTTTGACAGGAGATTCCTTGATAGCACGGACCACCTTATCTTAGTGCACATCACGCGTTCTATAACCCTCAAGGATTCAAGGGCTCAGGAATGATGCACATACCAGGTCCAAGGGACTCTATGAAAGGGATGATTTCCCTCAATTTCTTGGGGAGATCACTCTCTATCCTCTCGAAACTTGCGTTTCTCAACAGCCATGCGAGTCCAATTACTTCAGGTCGCCCTGCTATTTACGGCTGTCTATGGCCAGATCAGTTCTCAGATCACAACATATGACCTGAGTTTCGATGGCGCAGCTGCCGTGAGCCTGCTTTGGGGCTTAGACGCTGAGCCGACTTCAACTTATAACTTTTATCTTTGCGCCGGTGACGAGACGACAGGTTCATATGTATGTTCCTCTCTTTGCTGAAATGGAAGACATAGAGCTAACCACATATTCAGGACACTCTATCGCAAGTCATCAGCAATGGTGCTTATGCTCCTGGTGACACGGTGTCATTTCAAGTCGACCAAAACGTCGGTGGAAATGAACCCAATGCATAGTAAGACCATTTCCCCCTAGCATCAGCGGCTTCATCAATTCGCTTCGTGACTGACCAATGCCCCCTTAAATTAGCTTCCTCAAGATAGTTTTGTCAGGCCCTCATGATTACTGGTCCGGGTTCACGTCCCATTTCACTTTGACCAACATGAAAGGTACCTTCTCGACCAAAGTAATGAATGCGATCAAGACAATGCAGCCGATTCCCGCCGTCGCTATTCCCTGGCCTGCGGGTGAAGACGACGATCGACTCATTGAGGCAGATCTCATTTCAACTTTCAACATCTCGAGTCTCACCAAGAGTTCCTCAACTGAAACGGCCTTGCAGTTCCCAATCCCAACCGTCAAAGGCCAAGCCGAGCACAATGAACTGCGCAAGCGACAGGTGGCTGCTGTCGCCGGCGTTGGCGCTGGTGCCGTTGCTGCAATTGACCAGCATACTGTCCCATACGGCGAGCAGACTGGCTCGATCAAATATGCCCCAATGCCAAAGAGCGCTGGGACTACTGTCGCAAGCAGATCGGCCACTCCTCAATATCCGCCTTTCCCGTTCTCCATTGCGACTAGCTACCTAGGTGCGCCAACCGTCCAGTATACGGATACAGCATTTGCGACATGGACGGCGAACACCATCGAGAACACGGTGAGTCTGATTCTTGAATGCTTGTCAGTTGGAATTGAAATCTGATACTTTTGTTTTTGGTTAGGCCGCGCCCGCTCCTGCGCCCACATTAGACAAGAGGATGCAGAAGTGGTTGGAGCGTTGGAACGATTGATAGGCTTTCAAGCATATTGTCATTTTTATTTTCTCGGATATTTTTACATGGCGCTTGGGTTGGCGTGGGAACATCCAATTTCCAAGTGATTTCATTCACGCCTTGGATGGAGGTCATGCTTTTGGAGGGGTTTCTGATTTATCCAGACTTAAACGTTTCTTTTCTTTTCGCTTTTGGTTTAATTGCTGGCCTATATATCCCGAGCAACTTCTATATTGAAATGATCAAGCTTTGACTGGGAATACCTGCCATCCAATGCAGCTGAATGCAAGAAATCTTTCGCTTCTGTTCATAATATGCGTATACTGGATTATCCAATATTATGCCTCAAGGGGACTTCCATTCCTCCAAGGCCGGTGTTAACGACGGTGTCACCGTATGATTGCGGTGTTCCGGGTGGAACGAGATGTTCTCTCGCATCGCCACATAGTCGCTATCGGCATAGCCAAGTAGACTCTCAATCTGGGTGCTGCGATGGCCCTTGATGTGTGTGATTTCAATGCTTCCGTAGTTCACCAAAGCCCGACCGACTTCCTTGGGTTCCTCTCTGTGGTGGATAAAATCGCCATTCAAGGCGTCCGGAGATGGCCGGTCAACAACCACTAGCCGCACGGATTCCTGTTGTCCAAAATGGCCTTCAACTCCAACCACTCCAGCCGGGAGAAGATTGGCATTATTCAAAAGTGCGTGGTAAGCTCCGTGGTCGATGTACAATGTACCATGTGGGTACAGCCCATGGAGTAGCCAGAATGTCCGTGATTGAATTGGGGTATTTGAACGGATGAATCGGGTGTGAAGAGGGGCACTGGGTGCCTCACATTGATCGTCAGCTGCTACGCCATTGGACCGAGCCTCGAGGTATTGTAGGTATTTCACAATGCCATGAACGTTGCCTGGTTTCGAGCTCTTGGTGATAACTGTAGTGACACCAGCACTGGTTCCAAGCTTTGCGGCCACAATCTTCGTGCTCATACCACCAGTGCCAAGAGAGGAGCCTGCCGATGAGACGTCAGCCTCGAGAGAGGAGATATCGGTCACCACCTCGATGGGTTTTGCGTCTGGGTTGGTTCGGGGGTTTTCTGAATAAAGACAGTCGACATCGGTCATCAAAAACAGATAGTCGGCCTTGATCATTGCCGCGGTAATTGCAGAAAGGGTATCGTTGTCGCCAAATTTAATTTCCTGGGAACCATTGGGTCAGATACTTGATCATGCCTTGAAAGGGAAATTTCCTTACAGAAACAGCCAGGGTATCATTTTCGTTGACAATAGGGATCACTCCCATATCAAACAACTGTTCAAATGTATTTTGCGCATTGACATATTGGGTTCTCTGTATTGAGCGTCAGTTGAGGAACAGGCCTGGGCAGACATAAGTAGATACATCAGCAATATCATTTCTTGTCAAAAGAATCTGGGCCACAGGCACACGAAGATGCGAGAATAGATTATCCCAAAGACTCATCAGTCGACATTGGCCAACTGCAGCGAGAGCCTATAGATTTTATTTAGCAAATTTTCCATTGCGTATATCATATGGGCTTCCTGTGCGGTAGAATCGAGGACATACCTGTATGCGTGGCAGATATGTTGGTCTTTTGTCCACATTCATCCTTCGTAGTCCAACGCCCACGGCACCAGATGATACAAGGACGACCCGGTGACCATCCCTGTGTAGCTTGGTCACCGTTTCCACAATCAATGTCAAGATCGAAAGAATTGGCTCATGGGTTTTCTCGTCGACAATCGAACTCGTTCCTGTTACATTGAGAAATCAGTACTCAAGTCATCAACAGATATAGATCCCCTCACCTAATTTGATCACGATTGTGAGACCCGACGAGGTCGCCATGGCGCAAATTCTATTTCAAATAAACCTCCTTAGCAACAAATAAATAAGAAAACAAACGAAAAGAATACAGAAAGGCCTGCTCTGTTCACTGCCCCGCGGCGATAGATCGCGGAAGAGCACTTTTTGCCCGATTACGGCGCTGATTCTGCCATCCACTTCCGCCATTTGCGGAGGATCTCGCTTTATCGCGGGCAGTGATAAGTGACTTCTCGACAAGCCCATCGAAAATGACAGACTCCCAGTCGCCAGGTGCGGCTGCACCTTCAAATGGAAAGCCTGAAACTACAGGATTCCTCCCCGGCGATGACACCTGGACCCAATTCCGCAATATCTATTCCATCCTCACGGGCAAGATGTCCAACGAAGGAATCGAGCAGTTCCGTGTTGCGCGAGACACTCGCAATGAAGAAGCAGACTGCAAGCGCTGTGAGGATCAGCGGGATTACCTTCTTCAATATAGTGAGTAACTCATCTAAGAGTTATCTGAGCCGAATACTGACAAGGTCAATGTATTAAGGTCCTACGATTCGATTCCTCAGCGAAAGCATTCAACAATTAGGAGGCGATCTTCACAGTCATAATATCTACTGTCGTCGCTGCACTGATCGGAAGGGCGGTGGCTTTGATCCGGAATATGGAATCCTGATCTGCGCGAATGAGATGAAGGACCAGGGACACCTCGAAGATACCATGGCCCATGAGATGGTTCATGCGTTTGACCACCTCAGGTTCAAGGTGAATTGGTCTGATAATCTGCGGCATGCGGCGTGCACCGAGGTATGTGTCATCCTTGTCTTAACATATCAATGTTTGCTAAATCCGTTTAGATTCGAGCTAGTTCGCTCAGCGGCGAGTGCAGATGGGCGCGCGAGTTCTTCCGAAGAGGGCAGTGGAAGCTTACACAACAACACCAAGAGTGTGTCCGACGGAGAGCCATCCTCTCTGTGCGAGCACGCCCAACTTGTAAAGACGAGGCCCATGCCACAAGGGTCGTCAATGAAGTCTGGGATAGCTGTTTCAGGGACACACGCCCATTTGATGAGATTTACCGATGATACCACAACTCATGCAGCGTTGTGCTATTCTCCACCCCTTTGTATGTTAGATTTTTTTGGATGTACTATACTTCATTGGTTCCACTAGCGACACGAACCTTCCCGCCTATCTACTGGAGTTGTTTTGGGGATTTCATATGAGTAAAGATAGGCAAGATTACATAACTACATATGTATGTATGTATCAATCTAATTGAGGGCATTAGAGGTGAGATGAGATCAAAGTATTGTCTCTATCATAGTGGTTGTCAATGAAACCCCGGAGCACAACCTACATCTACTCTACCCTGCGTTCTGGTTATAAATGAAAGATATATCAGAGGCCACAGGTAGCCGTCCCTCGAATTATTTGAATACATAACATTGTATTGAACAAGTCGGAGGTGAAAATAAAATTAAGATCAAAATATCGAAAGTACCTCTCCAGCTTGACTCCCAAGACAAACTCGAGACGCCTTGAAAATGCTTGCAGGCTCAGAACACCAAAACTCCACATGAGAAAAATGTCAAAAAGAAACGATATGGTTCATGCTTTGCCTTCCCTGGAAGAACCTGAACTGCGCTTCACAGTGCGATCGTCTTTCTCACAGTGCTTAATGATCCAAGGATGACGCTGGATCTCCTCGAGCGGAATTCTCTTAGCGGGATCAAGAACAAGAAGCTAGATATTATATGATGTGAGTAAGCGGGCTCTATATGGATAGTTATGGGTGAAAATATTGACTCACTTTCTTGATAAGGTCCTTCGCCTCTGGGCTCACGAAGGAGGGGACCGACATATCTGCCTTGGTGATCCGCCGTGTGGTCATACTAGGAGTATCCTCGAACGGAGCCTCGCCAACCAAAAACTCATACATCAAGACACCTAGACTCCACAAGTCCACCTTCTCGCTGTAGTAGTTGTCTTTGTCCTTAGAACCCTGAGCGAGCATCTCTGGGGGCAAGTAGTCGAGAGTTCCACACATAGTTTGGCGTCGGTTGTTGGGGGCATGGACACTCCAGCCGAAATCACTGATTTTGATCTCTCCATGAATGCCAACAAGGATGTTCTCCGGCTTGATGTCACGGTGCATAACGTGCTTTCTGTGTAGATATTTTAATGCTGCAGCCATCTGTGCAATATATTGTGCGGCTTTCCATTCCGGGAACCGATGCTCTTTGCGAAGATGCTTATATAGCTCACCACGGCCAGCAAACTCGAGGATCAAGAAGATTCGTTTGCTATCATGGAAGTGACCATAGAGCCTCAAGACATTAGGGTGACGTAGGTTACTCTGAATCTCGATTTCACGCCTGACTTGTTTCTGGACACCACCTTGTTGTAACTCAGACTTGTGTAGCACCTTTAGTGCACAGACGAAGCCAGAGGAACGTTCCTTGGCAAGATAGACTCGCCCAAACTTGCCCTTTCCCAGTGGTTTACCAATTTCAAACATTCCTAAGTGCAGTTCCTTGGGAACAGCTGGCTGCTCGTAGAGGGAAGAGGATGTGCGTTGGTCGCCGTTTTCATCGGTGCTCCGGGTCACTAATGCGCCGTGGGATCCCCTGCCTGGCGACGCAGGGACGTTCATGGCATTTGCCTTGTTCTCATTATTATTTTGAAGAGCCAATTTCAGTAGTTGAGCTCGATTAGAATTGCTGTTTGACTGAGCTGAAGAGACCGGGGCCTTAGTAAATCAGATCAGCAAGGTGGATCTCCAACCAAATTACATTGAGCCAAATACCTTTTGCTTGCCATAGGTCCGATCGCTGTTTCCGTTTTCTTTCTCATCTTTCATGGACAAATGCTCAAAGCGAGCTTCGAGCGTCTTGGTCGTCGCCATGGTGGGTGTATGGGGCTAATGGTAGGCGAAAATAAGCAAGGATGGAGAGAGAAATAGAAGCTCCGGTGTTTGGACGATCCTCAGAGCGTCACCCCAGCAACGGCCGGCTGATGTAATACACGTATCATGTCACACCGCCATGCTCTCCGCTCTCAGCACCCGAAGCCAGTAATTATTCTGCTGAACAAATATTGCAGGGTCGGACCGCTTCTTTCTCCGTCCGCGGGGTTATTGTGTATACATCGCCCTGGAGATCCCCGCTTCTTGTCAAGCTCTAACCATGGCAACAACATGTGCCACCGTCTCCCCGGAGACAAAGAAACCCAACTCGATCACCATCAACGGATTTCGAATTTCAACACAGAAGCTACCCATTCTCAAAGCCGACCCGATCGAGGAAATGACCCGGAAACTCGGCATTGCACCCCCGGAAATGATATTCGGTGATAATTACGTTGCAATAGAGCATGAGAAGGGCAACTGGGGCATCAATTTCAATGCGTTTGATGCCTTGGACTTGGTGGACAAGACTGGTCAATCCATGCTCCAGGTCGCGTACTCGGGAGAATGGCAAAAGAGCAGGTATTTCGCAGCCTCCCACTTGCACTTATTCGATCGTTGCGGCTAATGGCTTGGTACGCAGAGAGAAAACCCATGAAGGAATTAAAGAAGTCGTGAAGCCTTTCGACTGGTCATATAGCACCGACTACAGGGGCACCCTCCATCCTAATGCGCGGCCGTTCGAGCCAACGACGAAGCACATTCCAATCGAACTATTGAAGCGCCCTGACCCCATCCTCTTTTTTGACGAGGTTGTTCTTTATGAAGACGAGCTGGCGGACAATGGGATTACCATGCTGTCTTGCAAGATCCGAGTCATGCCCGGAAGACTCCTCTTATTGACAAGGTTCTTCATGAGGCTTGACCACGTTTTGATTCGACTCCGAGATACTCGAATCTATGTGGATTTTGCGACAGGTGAAGTTATTCGGGAATATGTCTCAAAGGAGTGTGAATATGAGAAAGTTCGACAGGTATGTGCGGTCATTGGATAACGTTGATGTGTGTCTGATCTGACGAACCATCCAAAGATGTTAGCAGCAACTAGGGATGATATTCCGGCTTTCTTAAGAGATCCTAACCGACTCTCGGAGATTCTCCCTCTTGTAGAAAAGCGCTCCGAGCGATTGGTGCTAGACGATTGAGAGATCTACGCTCCATATTCTGGTTATCCGCGGGGTACTTCAACCTTTGGGCCCGGATACAGATTATCAGTTTTACTGGGCTGTTCGTCATTTAGCTCCACAAAAGAAATACACCACTCGATCATGACGACCATACGCCTGAAGGTTGGGAATGAAATGCCCCTGATTGGCCCACATGAGTCTTTTGCTAGACCTGGTTAGTTGGGTTGCAGACCTACTGCCACATTTAATGATCAAATTCAAACGATGCGAATGAACATGAATGGGATAGCGCTTGAGTTAGATAGCACTAAACCATCAATTGAATAACCAGCAGGAGCTCCACGTAGAACATAAAAGTGCGAAAATCCAATCAATTTCAATAGTAGCTTGCAAGGATATGTCCAGGTATACACAGGTGTAAGGTTTAGACGTGCAAGTCCAAAATATGGATTGGGCTCCATCATTGCCTCCCGATATCAGAACAAACAATGCAAACACATTTTATCAGAAAAAGACCCAGATCACCAATCACGAGAGACTAATTCATGAATTCCACATCCTCAGCAATGTCATCCAGGAGACTATCAACACTATGGGCACGCGAGATGCGCGGGTCCCAGAACCTCTGCCTTTCCAGATCTGCTAGTCGCAGCCCAGTAACACTGGTGTCCGCTTCCTGCGCGTCTACGGAACAGCCATTGAAATCGATCACCACTCGATCATATTCCCAAAGCAAGGTCTCCGACTTGGCCAAGAACTTTTCCCGGAGACCCGGAAATGCCGCCGAGACTTATGTTGCATATGGCATGACACAGAGGCTATTTGAGGCCTGTTCCAGCCAAGCGGATTACAGGATCCCCCAAGCGTCGCAAAATGGAGCGGAGGTCCCGAAAACAAAAGCTGGTGAGGATCTTGGTGTTGGAGAGGGTTGGTGGTATAAAGGTGAGACAATCCCAGCGGTCTCTGGCTTGGGCTGTGGTATGCTTTGAAGAGAACAAGCTAATTTCGGGCGTTGCTGTAGAGCTTGGCCTCTTGCCAACTTTTTCTACCTGGTCCCAGGTGACTTTCCTCCACATGTACCTCTTGACGGTTCGCCTTCGTGCGCTACCCCATCGCGATAGCGTTACTACCTACTCACGCCACTTGATCGATCACTTTTCGCATGAAGCAGAACACCGCATGGACGCCTATCATGATCTGGGTAGTCGCACTATTCGCAACAAATACTTGAAGGATCTGTTCATTCAATGGCGTGGAATCATTGCCGCGTATGATGAGGGGTTGGCCAAAGGCGATGCGGTGCTGGGCGCTGCTGTCTGGAGAAACCTCTGGAAGGGAAGTCAGACCGGACCGGACGGGAAAGAAGAAATTGACTGGGCTAAGGTTGCCCAGGTGGTGGCCTACATGCGCCGAGTCTTGTCGGAGCTATCAAAGAAAGATGAGGTAGATCTTGTTTTCGCTCTTGGACGTGGTGACCAGGAGAACACTGGTATCTTCGAGTACTCGGAGACGGACAAACAGCTTGTTCAAGCGAACAGGTGAAGGGATATCCTCGCACAAGTGAGTGGTTTGCATTTGGTTATAAGGACATGTACAATATTTAATTGCCGTACTCTTTTCTCATGAGAATTTTTATTGTTGAAGATAACGACAACAAAACGCATCGGTGCGCGTTCGCTGTCTACCTACTTGAGGAAAATATGACACGGAGGTAAAGGCCTAGTTATCTTTTTTGCCAAAGTCCTTCTCCACCATGCCTCGGCAGATAGGATGATAAAAGTCCTTGTACTTCTCGAATGTTTCAAGGGCGACAGGGCGATTGATCTTCTGGAGGTTGCGGAACCTAAAAAACAGGGTCAGTGTCAAGAACAGAATCTGTGATCAGGGCGGGGACACCTTACAGAGGTCGCACAAACTTCATCCGTCCAATACGGCCCAGCAACTCGGTTGTTGGCTCAATGACGCTGTTATCTCCTGCTTTCATACCAACCTGGCAGTACAGGTTGGAAACCTCGATATTCTCGCTCTTCGTCAAACCGTACACATCACCCATCAATTTCGAGATCTCGGGGCTGAGAGGTCTCTCTAGCAAGAGCATCTGCTCCAGGAAGACAACCAATTGGTTTGCGGTCAAGCCCTGGATGTCGCTGATATGAGGCTTGAATGAGGAGTCGGGAAGGGACTGCCATTTCTTGGAAAGTTCATAGACAACGTCCACCATCGACGTGTCAAACCTTGGCTTAGGTGGTAGACCTGGCGCATAGAACCACTTATCCCAATCCAGTTCATCCAGCAGCTTAGAAGCCTCGGCATCTGACTTGAAGAAGTCCAGAATCAGTGCTTTGAACTCATAGGAGTCGAGCGATTTGCACTTGAAGGTTGTGAAATACTACCGAAAAAGTCAATAGAAGAAACCGAACGAGATAAGAGAGATTGCGTACGTGAGGGATGAACTTGTCAAACTTTGACTTGCCAACAAGATTCTCAAGGTAGAACAAGAAGTTGAAACCCTTCTCATACGGAACACTTGAGAATGCGTCGTCGGGATCCTTGCCCTTCAGATCAAGGATAAGTTTAGTGAACTCATGATCGTCACCAAAATGTTCGACAGCGTCAGTCAGAGACTTCCACCCAATTATGGCCGAGAAGTGGCGATAGGCTTCGCCGTGAATGGCAGCCAAAATCCTTCTCTCAAGGTAAACGGTCCAGCCCTCATTCAACCAGAAATGCTCCCATGAGGCATTGGTAACCAGGTTACCACTCCAGCTGTGAGCCAATTCGTGTGCGATGACATCGATGTTCTCACGGTCCTGGGGGGGCCTATCAGTTATGGTCCATCTAACAATTGGACAGAGTATACTACGTACCTTCGAGATGATACTCGGGGTTGCGAAAGTGAAAATCGGGTTCTCCATGCCGCCATACGGGAAACTGGGCGGCAGGATCAAAACGTTGTACTCGCCCCAGGCGTAAGAGTAAACAATTTTCTGTGTGAAGTCAGAATTGACTATTAACAGTTAATATGAATAGAACATAGGCTGTATACCTCGATTGTTGTGATGAAGTTCTCAGTATCAGCCTCGAGCTCCCATTTGCACTCTTCCAGCTTGTCAGGGCTGGTTGCAACGACACTCCGGGGTCCGATTGGAGCCTCGGCGACATCACTTGTGGAGTTCTGCGTTAATGAATAGTACATTTCCGAGAACGGTGAAGGAATTCTTACCCGCTAGCGATAGCAAAGAGGTAGCTGGGGATTGGCACCGACTGGTGGAATCGATACAGTTGGTGGTCCGCCTTTGACTCCATGGACGACTTGCGAATCGGCAGACCGCTGGTCATGACCGGGAGCGGAGAGGTGATGTTGAAGTCAAATGTGGCTTTAACATCCGGAGTGTCCTGACAAGGGAAGATAGACCGCGCGTGAATTGCCTGGCATTGGGAGACTGGGCAGTTTTGTCAGCTACTGGAGCTCCAGAGAAAGGCTCAAGAATATTCACATACACATGTATGGATGTTTCTTGTTTGAGGTTTGCGCAGGCGTCAGCCACTGCAACGCAGTGCACTTGTCGGTGGTTTTCACCTCGATCTATGATTTGAGTGAGATAGAGCATCATGAGGAGAATTGCAAAACATAAACATACATCAACCTCAACGGTGCCATTCAACTTGACGGGATTATCAAGGATAATCTTCAATGGGACACCATAGGGCTCCAGCGAGGGGAGAAACTCCCATTTGGATGGCTGGCCATCCACCTTCACCGCGCCGATGTCAAGATGGCTGGTATCCAGGATAATCTCCTGGGACTCACCATCGGTGATTGACTTGAATTGATGGATGACATTTCCCACCAGCTTCTTCTGGTCGAAGAGAATATCGAAATTGGCCGTGATATGGGTGGAACGCCAGTTGTTGTAGTTACTCACGGTGTTCGGATCTCGCGGAGGGTTGATAGTAGCCATAGTTCGAATTGAGGTGAATTGCAGCTTGATAGAAGCACGTACTAGATTGAAATTCAAGTTCCGAGTCAAGGAACGACCTAAGGTGGGATTCATGAAGGAGGGAATTTTTCGCCCATTTCCCCATTTCCCCATTTCCCCGTCTCTAAGCGTCAACTTCATGACTCAGGTAATATATATACTGACGTTTATACTTATATTTATATACTTGTTATGTTTATATGTTGTTTCAATTTCTAATATAGGATATCTCTTAATTCCATGTACAATAACCTAGCTTATCCCTGTATGTGTATAGATGCTAGGGAGAAGTTGTCCCCTTTTTCTTCCCTTTCTCCCTTGAGAATCCAGATTCCCAAATCCAAAATCCAGAATCCAGCATCCAGAATCCTCTTTATTAATTCTTTCATCTTTCAGAACTCGTCGTATATCCTTCCGAGGTCCCCGCGTTGTCTCTTTTCCCTCTCCCATTCGTCCACCGCCCGGCACGGGAACCCCCTGAAGTAGAAAGCCCCTGACGAACTTGACGAACTGACCTCCAAAAGTGGCAACTGTTAGCCCTTCTGCAGATTCAACAGATTCTTGTGCTTTTTGAGGCGCATTTTGCGTGGTTGAGGCCCAAAAAATTGCCCGACTTGTGAGGTTGGCCCCTGATCTTTAATGCGCATGATTCCTGATTTGTTCTAGGTCAATTGAAATAATGTCTCTTAGCCTACTGCTTTGAACCCCTCGGCCCTCCCGATTACGAAGCTATGTATTGAGACGGATAGGGGGTTCTAAAAAACCAAGGATACTCTACGAGACATATGACAATATCCTATCTCGAACGTGCGAAGAATGAGCGAAGACATACAGGACCTGGTTGCAGATACCCATTTCTCTCTCCTATTGTGCTGGTCTGGTCGCGCATAGTTCCTGGAGGGTCACAGTTACAGACAAACTCGATATATTACATTTCCGACATCTAATCGACCGCTATTCCGCCGTTTTGCGAAAATGATTCACCACACAGCAGTCGATGATGATCCCAATTCATCCTACCTCAGACGTCCTTCCGGTCCCTTTGCGTCGGAACCGTCTGGACCGCCCCATAACCGACCTTCCTCTCGTTCGTCACGGCCTAGTTCTCGGACTCGAATGATAAAGCCGCCAAGTGCGGTCACACCCACTGGCCTCGGTGTGCTTACAGAGAATGTGGCAAACTTGTCCCCGGAGGGTCTTGGAGCGACCAGTCCTATCAAAGAAGGGCTAGGCAGTTTAAATCGCTGGTCCCAGTCGACGGCATCTAGCAAAAGTCCCTCGGAATATATCGGTCATCATCGTCGAGGGAGCTCGAAAATGTCCATGTCAGGTTACAACCGTGGACGGGGGAGCCACAGCCCCCAACATGCGCAAGGGCTGAATGGGTCGCCGATGCTCGATCTGCCCGAGCTGGAGAAGTCTGCCACATTCGACCATGAGTCAAAACCAAAGCAACTCGATCTCTCATTTGCGGCCTCAAGCCATCTTTTCCAGCACTCAACACATAGCATCAAAACAGATATGCCAATTGCTCGGTCTAGTGGAGGGTCCATTTCTTTGAATGACGGAGAAGGAGACCCGGCGGCCATACAACATGGCCAGACCCAAAAGGTCATGCTGTCAAAGGCACTTCAGAAAGCAAACACGGCAGTTCTTCTTGACAACGCTGCCAATTTTGAGGGTGCCATGGAAGCTTACACCGATGCTTGCAACTTGCTCCAGCTTGTCATGGTCCGTAGCAATGGAGGAGACGAAGAGAAACTTAAACTTCAAGAAATTCGAGACACATATATGCTTCGGGTCACGGAACTTCACCGTATGGACTTTCCTCTCCCGGAGAGCGACGACAAAGCCCTTCCCGATCGGCCCCTCAGCCAAGAGTCATATGGAGAATTGCTTCGTTCGGCAAATCATGGATCCCATATTGAGAGCCAGCAGAACTCGCCTAGTTCCAGCTTTGGGTTCCACCAGATCCCACTAGAAGAGGCAAGGGGATTTTCTCTAGAAGCGGTTCCCCCTCGGCGACAATCCTTGAAGCCGTCTGCCTTGGAAGATCAACCCCGATCTATGACATTGCCGACGGGCGGTCAAGAGGACACTAATGAATCCACTTCATGGTTAGACACAATTGATGAATCGGGTGCTTCGTCACCCTCCTCAGCGAACTCTAAGGCATCATCGGTGTACCTGCGTCGCCGGACAAGCCGTCGCCTCAGTAATGACACAGAGGCTGAGTTTGATGCAGCCCTGGATGCGGCCGTGGAAGCTGCATATGATGAAGGCCTGCAGCCGGTGCCGGAGCACAAAGAAGAGGAAAGCGATGATGTTGTTTCAAATGCCCGCAGGAACATCCAATTAGCGAAGCAAAGAGTGCGCGAGGCAGAAGAGGAAGCAGAGGCAATGAATCGTGATCGTGAAATGCGCCGGATCCAGGAACAGACAACTTTGGGACATGACTCCATTGCCCGTACTTCGGCATATCTGGATGATGAAGCAGAGGAAGAGGAGCGTTTGTTAGAAGAGATGACCAAGGGCTACGTGATGGACGACTTTGAGTTCGGCATTCAGTCCAAGTCGGCGCTCCCTCGAGAATCGGATTCTAGTAACATGTCTGGGAGGACCTGGGAAAGCTCCGCAACGTCCAATGTCGCAAGCACCGGGGGTGCACTGTCTACGCTTGAAGAGGATGATGTCTTGCCACTAGGCGACCTAAGGCCCGAACCATATACCATGCCCTCTTCTCCTCCATCTTCGGCTTTGCCACCACTGCCTGCGTCATCCGACTTTCCGGCTCCTTCAACGCGAGCCTCGATATCAAACCGTGCTGGTTCTATCGGCTCACTCGCCTCTTCTATAGGTCCAGGAGTGCGAGCCCGGAGACTATCCAGTCAGACTCGCGAGCTCAAAATCGACACCACTACTCGTTCCTCTCGCGCTAATTCCAATGCGTCATCGGCCTTGGAAAATGTTGCAACCCCACTGGCAAACCGCCCGCCACCGTTGCCGAAAGACGAACCTTCTGCTCCTGGGGCCCGTTCCACTTTACACCCAACACAACGCAACCCGTCAGTGGGGTCTTTTACGGACCACGTCAATCTCTCCCAAGCTCGCACTCATGAAGATGATGAGAACGAACTACCACCCCTGCCGCTCTCAGCGCGGCCCATGGGCAAAGTGCCCTCGGCTCCAGATGGATTGAACAAACTCCACTCCAATACAAAGTCTTTCCGGGCTCGGAATGCCTCTGTTCCGATTCAGATCCCTGATATGTGCCCGGAATCCCCAAGCTCCCCTTTCGCCGGTGCGTTCCCTGACACTCAAAGGGGCGCCACTAGCGGCGTCCCTGTTTTACCTACACCGACCCTAGCCAACTTTAACTTCAATCAAAATGGACTACCAAGCGGTGGATTAAACCTATTTGGTAGCAACATTCATTCACCCACAGCTCTTGGCCGTCCAAATTCTTTGGTGGCCAATGCCCCGCTTCCTCTAGAGCCATGTCCGGAGTGTTTCCTTCTCCGCCCATTTTGGCTAATGAGATGTCTCTACCAGACACTCGCACATCCCCATGGTGGCTATCTGTCAGAGAAGCTCTTTATTCCCCGAGATGTCTGGCGCGTGAAAAATGTCAAACTAAAGGCCATCGAAGAGAAAGTGTCCAACTGCGATCTTCTGACTGCCGCCCTGCTCAAATTGGCCCAGGTCGATACATATGATGCAGATGCGGTTCTAGAGGAGATGCAGTCGTTTGATACTATACTCGACCAAGTTCAGGTTACCTTGACTAAGAAATTGGGCAGTGATGTCGGTGTCCAGGCATCAATGCCATTGTTTAAGCCCACTTCCACGCCGGATGAACCCGTTCAACCGGAAGTTGCGCCGAACAAATCATACTTGACATGGAAAAGATTACGCGCAAAAACTTCGGGGCTTGGGACAACCACTCCGGTCCCGAGTGCTCGAGAAAGTAACAAGGACAATCTACTCCTCAATTCTGTCCCGATGACATCTGTGCATGGAACACCTGCGAAGCGCAATGTTACCCAGCTTGAATTCTCTGGGCCCAATGCAAACTACATGGGGGCGTTGGCGCGGCTTTTCGATGCTGCACAAGTGCTAGGTAAGACTTTACTCGTCCATATGCTTTGACACCGTTCTAATTCATTACCAGAACAAATTGCTCAGCAGGTTGAGGACCCTGGACTCAAACATTCGTCTAAAACCCACGTTGGTCTGGAACTCAGCACGCGACATGCTGCTGAATTCTTTGGCTTTTACATTTGTCGGTTCGCACTGGCTGATGTGGGCTTGATGCTCGACAAGTTCATCAAGCGAGGTAGCGAGTGGGTGTTGGTTTAGGAAGTATATGAAACCATACGATAATTATCCCTCCCTCAGAGCCAATGGAGGCCTGGGGTTTTCCTGCGTCTCTTTTGATATTTCTGATGTCCATATTTGATCTCCCCATGTCTTTGAGATACCATGATTTTAACCCGTGAGATATTTGATGATTTAAGAACATAATTGTCATGAGAAGGGAATGTACTTAGCGCTGTTTATTTCTTGCTCATATAAACTGTCCATTTTGGTGATCTTGCCTTGGCGCGAGCCCTAACGACACACTCTAATCACAGACACATTCAATCCAATTCTTTTAGTACTTACAAGCATCATACTATATCCCTATACACAAAGATATTTATCATCCTTAAGCGGTAAATCATTCAGCCATTCAACGATAAGTTGAGACCTAACACAAATTCCTTCATGAGAAGTATGCAGTTCAGAGGCATATATTGGCCGATCGAAGACAAATCTGTCGTCGTGTCTCTGCGTCTCGGATAATCTCGGCTGACAGTTTCAGGCTAGGTGCTAGGTGTGCATACCTTTCTACCTCGTTTACCACTCCCACAATGATCGCATCTATCTGCGAAACGGGAGGGAGCAGGATAGAGAGGGTAGGAGACATTGTGGCGCCCATTATCAGCAACGTCTGTGATACCATTGACAGGGCCCCCTGCCACAGGTACGGAAGGTGGCCTTCGCGGTGGCTTGTTATATGCTCTAGCTGACGGAGTGTAGCATCCAGACATCGCCGGCAACACTCTTTCACCCCCGGGTCCGCTCCAGCCTGTTCATTC